CCTATAGATTTCTCATTGTTTGGTAACTATTTGCTGCAAATGCAACAAAAATCAATATCAAAATATTACCCACACAGCATTCTACAGGTTACTTGTTTTGTTCTGTGTTTGTTTAATACAAACTAGAACCCTATATTTCAAGAAACAAGTCGGACGGCCTATAATTATTATTTAATTATTTTGTTGATGTTACAGTTGTAACCTATTAGTAAATACCGTAAATAACACTCACTATACAAATAAATACATTATTTTTGTTTTAACAAACGGCATGATATTACGCATTTACGGGTAACTCGTTCATACCTTTGAACAAATATCGACAGCATAAATATTGTATCATGAAAACAATATGATATAGCTGTAAAGAGGGGGCATCTCAGACGTATATTTGTAAAGACCCAAGTCTACTTTCACTTTCCTTCTATGTATTATGTATAGATGAGGGACGGTGAATATTATTATATAATTGGGAGTAAGCTGATAGCGCCAGAACTGTACAGGTACACGTCCTTACGCTTCGTGTACGTGCATTTACTACTTGCAGTTCGTCTTCAGCTTCTCAGAAACATGGACAGAAACACTGTTGCGTATTATACGTTGGTTCATAATTTTCTTTCAATACTCCCCAACGTCCCTGTAAATTGTTAGGTGCAGGTATATGACCCACAACGAGAGTGTGCGAGGTGTTTCTGTGCATTGTCGAAGGTCGACCGAGAGCTGGTTACAACCAGTGTGGTGTACTAACCTTCAGGGGTCAATTGTGCGTTTTTGCCACAGTTGTCCCGAGTCAATACTCTTTTACGCCAGGTTCTGCTATTTGCATCGTAGTACACTGGAACGCCGCTCCCTGTGTCATCGTTGTACAGTACCATCGTATTTCTATACGTCACGTCGAAATCAAACACACACTCTGTTCCATCGTCCGTGCATTTTCCGTTCGGGGCCAGAAGTTGAGAATTCACCAAAAAATGGGAAGTAAAAATAAAGAGTACGCACGCTAACATTGCCATGGTCGCCATTTTTAACCGTATGCGTCTTCGAGAACCACCTTTTCTACGAAACAAAGGTCATCCAATAAGGCGACCTTTTGAGCATTCATTCGTTCTGCGTTGTTAATGTATCATTACTTACCTTTTCACTATTCGCTAGTTGGTGAAGATATAAATCGGTTGTCACTCCTTATATACGATGGATGCGTGGCAGCATATAATATGAATATAATATGAATGTCAAATATAATATGAATAAGATGGTGGCTCGTCACATCAACGTCAACGTACACATAAACATAAAACACTACTCAGTCTATGTCTATCAATTTGACAAACTAATACGTCCTATGGATGTTCATATACTTATTTTTTATTAATTTTTATTCCTATTTCACTTTTCTTAGAGGCCTTCCTTCCGCCAAGTCGGAGTTATCAATAATTATTAATATATCTTGCAGTATATCTTCGACCACTCTGACATCCTGGGGATCACAAGATATTATTTCTTATCACGTGGAATAATGTTCACCAGTAAGTAATAACATGGTAAGTAAGTAATACCATCGCCAGTAATAACATGGCTAACCAGGTCATAGTTAAAGTGTTTCCTACGGCACTGTTCCCGTCAAACGTATAGCCCTAATTGTGCAGTGAAGCCGTTGTGTATTGTCTACACGGCATGATATGCTGGGTCAACAGGTAAGAGACAGTGAAAAGAAACAACACTAGGCGACCTTTGGTTATTTGTCCTGCGAGAATACAGTCTGCCTTGAAACTGCAACTAAATAACTTGGAAGGGGGTCCTTAGTCATTGGGTTTATCCGTTACAAATACATTGTGGTTCTCTAGCTGTCATTAATTTCCACACCTTTAATTGTTGAGTATTAAATTAAACTAATAAAGACCACCACATATTTAAATACATATACAGGTACAATAGAATGTTGTAAAAATATGTAAATAAGTACTTGACTTCAAAATTCTGAAGTGTGATTAATAAATCGGAGACGTATTTTAGGGTATAACACAGCGATTCAGTTACTTCTTTACTAAATAATGATTAATTACACTTAAAAACGTTATATAAATTCACTAATCCTAAAAGTGTAATCAGCAATAAGTTTACGCTGCCTTATGTTTCACGCGTGATTTTATTACGTTTAAGGACGTTCTATTACAAGGTAGTTGAAACCTGAAAAGTTGAAACTTCAAACACAAATTTTCTAATCTTAATTATGTGTTAGTTTCTGCTGTCAAAAACATTAATTATGTATAATATTAATATTTCACTCACTAAATGATATTTTTCAAAATATTTAATTAAAAAGTTAGTTAAGTTGTAAAAACTCTGACTTAGTGTTAAATAACGTGGATGTTATAATGAAGTGCCAACGTCGGTTATGTATTATAAAAAAAAGCTAATGTATCTGCCATTCAGCTGTATTGGGTCGGATCGCATCATCAAATTCAACGACGGGCATTAAACTTCATTGAAACTTTGAATGACATCGTCCAAAGCATATATGAATAGTTATCAACAAAATTATTTTAAGCTTCAACTAATTTTGCCCAAGGTAAATGAAGTCCCTATTTCCTTAGAAAAAACAATTGTTGTACTTAACCTTCATGAGTTATTTGTTTGTTTTTTGTCACACTATCCAACAGTCCAAATTACTCTTCTCTGTTTTCAAAATTAAATTGAACGCAGTCGTTGGCCAATATATATCGAGTGAAAATCTCTGTGTTCGTCATCAGATTAAAAGTGGAAACAATGCACTTCGACACAGAGCAATGAAAAAATCGTCTTATTAGTAAAATTGTGCCAAAATGCTTTCCGATAGCATACATGATAGTTCTAAATTGACCGATTCTATCGTTACAAACCGAAAGACTATATGGAAAAACTGATGTAAAGTTTTTTGAGACACGTTTTTGATCAGACTGCAGCAATCACAGGGTTTTTCTTTACCCTGATCATAGCAAGTTACAAAATTCACGGAGAATGCAGAGGCACGTTTATATTTCATTCTAGTACAATGTGTGTGCATGCGCAGTTTGAAATAGATTTTTTTTTGAACGCAATAAAATCACGCGTAGAACTAGGGCCCCAGCAAGAAATTGTGGCATCAAACTGGCTTTCGGTTGAATTGTATTGCTCTAGACATAATTTTGAAGTGAAATGTTTTTTTGTTTTGTTGAGGATTATTCTGTAAGGAAATTGCTGAAATTATTTCATATGTTCATAAGAGGGACGTTGTTGCGTTGACGATTGGCTACGGACGACTGACTTCGAAACGTTGCATTCAAATCGGATGGCGCCCTCTTGTGCCAATCCTCCCTGCTTCGACGGGAAGATTCGATAATATAATTTACCACTTCGTGCTAATTTCACAGATTATAGCCAATCATGTACTTCTACCAACTACAATGTTTATACAATGATAAGGCGTGATACGGCATGCTATGCATGACTTTGTGTTGTGTATATATTTTTCATACCAGCATATATGGTCTATTAATTCCAGCGTAGAGAGAGCAATCGCCCCTCGAAAAAAATGTTGGGGGCGTCGCCCCTCCAAAGTCAAGCTAAAACCCCTTTTGACCCTCAAAATGCAGGAAATAGCATTTCAGAGTCTAGATTTCAAAAATTTTAAGGGGAGCATGCCCCGGACCCCCTAGTAAGGTCACCCCTTCGGCGCAAGGTTGGTGAGCAGATCTCGCCCCTAATGCAAAATGTCGTGCCGCCGCCTCTGAGTCATATAGGACAATTCACGTGCGTAAGAACAAAAATTAAACGACTGGTAACAATTTTCAAACAGTCCGATAGATGATATAGTATGCACCGTGACGTACATTAAAATATCGCTGAATATAGTAAAAACACGTTTAATCTATATAAATATAACTTCACTCTTCTTTAAAATGGTACGATACATACACTTATATTTTTATTTCTCATACTAAAAATTTTCATTTTCATTTCATTAATGTATGGTATATATAGGAAGGTGAAAGGGTGACACACTGTACTGTCAATGCAACAGCTTTGAAACATAATAACAAATGGTTTAAGTACGTAAGGGAAGGATATTTTAGTTCAACCTAAAATGTAATTTCAGTTCTTTGAAAAAATCTACGTGTAACAAGGATGGGTAGGAATTGTAAATATCCATCACATTATGTGCCAATAGAAGAAGCACGCAAGGAGCGTAGTCGTAGTATATTTGGAGAATTACCATATCAAAGAGTAAGTGAGATGACCCCTGCTATCACTGTATTATCTCTATGAATGCAAAATAATATTTGCGATAGCACTTGATACTGTATGTTTTGCAGGAATGTGTAGTCAATATTTTTTCAGAAAATTACTATCATATATATACTATATATATTCATGGTCGCGCACCGGGCTTTCAGTTGAGCAGCTTAATTACTCACATACGCATACGTACAAATTACAAAAATAGCAACTAAAACGTAAAATACAAAAGCCTTTCGGCGTCAGGATAATTTTTACCACAAATAACATCTTGACCAAAATACGGTAAGTAAAGACCAATCTATAGTCGGTTGGTGCCTATATGAGCTACGCCTGAGTTGAGGTGCTGACGGTGCACGCCGTGAACCAGGCAACTAGAAACGAGGTTACAAATTATGTTAACCACGATGACCTGGCATCGACTTCCGGCGTGGTGATATATATAAATAATGGGGAATTCCATGGAATTGGGTCATGCTATTTTGCATGGGGGTACGAGGTGCAATGTTGAGGGATTAAAGTCAATAATAATTCCGTAATTAATATGTCGACATAAGTATGTAAAAAAAGACTCTTTATAGTGTATGGCTCTGACTAACTTGTGAGGCGACAGCCAGTGATTGTTTTATCCGCGTGTACAATCGCCCCTCCCGGCACCAACCTGTGGATTATCGTCTGAATTTAGGCAAACTCATCGAACTGGAGCAATGTTTTTAATGTGTTCGACTTTCAGATAGGTATTGTACGGAGGCACGTAAGATACATTCATTATTTCAAAAAGCCAGACGATCATTAGCATATCTATTATTTGGCGCGAACAAAAATCTGCCTATATGTCTGGGTCATATTTTGTTGTTATACGCTCATGTATACTAATTATTTGTGTAATTATGGGTCATGTAACTTCTGGTAGTGTGGATATCTGAAAATACAATTTAGTCTGTATGCTGAGCTTATATAGTAGGTATTTAAAATGTATAATAGGAAAGTAATATGACTTTCAATTGAACACTGAAATTTCAGTCAGTATAAAAAGGTGCAGTTTTGAAATGAATGACTGCATCACCGAGTGTTTAATGTCTTTGTTTTGGCTGCAAATTCACCATGAATGATCAACGCCTAATTAATGAATAATGTATCAGGTCATTGACCTACATCACAAAGGCGTGGTGGGTAGTCTACCCTTAGTGACGAGGCGATTGCAGTGATCGCATGTTCAAAGCTTGTGTTGCATGTTCCAGCCAATGTAATAATAATAATAACCTGATTGTCAATCATCTCCATTGAGATCTGGACTAACATACAATAAAGTTTAGATGATACAGAAAATATATATATATAAAATACAAAAACAAAAAAAATAAAAAATAAAAGTATAAAAGAAAAAGAAAAAATAACAGTAAAAAAGTCTTTTAGTAATAAATAAATAGTTTACATATAAATGTAAGAATGCATTATATTTTCAGGACAGCTGGCAATCTCTGTATATTTTCCTTTCTCATAAGAAAGCATTTGTGAATGTATTTTGAGAATCAGTTTTTCATCTTTGTTATTTGAAAGAGTTTCTAATTTCTCTATATTGGTATTGTTTTTAGGCTGTATTTTTAATTCTTTGAATATATCGTTTTTTTTCATTTATGTATAATTTACAGTTTAGAAGGAAGTGTATTTCATCCTCTACTTCATTAGTTTTACAAATGGGAAATTTTCTGTTGGATATATCTATGTTGCTGTGTCCTATATCAGTCATTTATTTTGTCATTTCAGTGTGTTGAGACTTTTAAACGAAAACGTGTTTGAAAATGTAATTCAAATGGAATGAATAATTGAATTCATACATTTATTCTTATGCCCATAGTTCACTCTGGTCTTCTATCACGAATGGTATATGACATCGGACAAGTTGAAGGCGCAGTCAGTGGAATTTTACATTTTATGACTTGTTATGACCATCTTGTTTATACCTTTACGAGTGTGGGTGTGGGATGCGAGTTTGACTTTGGTATAGCATGGTGTTAAATTTGTTATCCTCCACAGAATTATAATAATTTGTTACACATTCTACTCTATAACAAATCATAAACTCGCCTGCCCAATAGGAACCGTGATTGTTCAAATAAATTGATGAAAATTCTAAACATAGCCTCACTTCTAACTATATAAACGTAGAGCACAAGAGGCTACAGAAAAAGTGTGTCCAGACGTACATGCATCTGCATATGTTGGACGTCTGTGGTATGTTATGCAGCATAGGGCCTTGGAAGTTGAATATCATTACATTTTGGAGGGCATCATGTAATATTCTCATAATAAATAGTTTGTGAAACAGAATACACTCAACATCAAATCAAACTAACATCAACGTTTTTATAAGAATGGTCTGTGCCGTCCAGTGAGCGGCATAAGTGTTACTTTTACCTTATTCGCGGTAATGTATGCGGTTTCCACGGTCCGTCTTTATTCTGCTCACTTTATTATCAACTAATCACAAATCCTGTTGATACTTTACAAAAAACTAATAATGTACATAGGAGTAAGGTAAAATAATTTGCAAGATTTGGTGTAACATAAGACAATACAATACATATAGTTTCACTATAGAAGGGGGTAGTGTAGAAATACATACATTACACTACTTTTGTAATGTTGACCTAATTGGTCAATTTTCTGTTAGATTTTTTAAAAGCAAAATGGTTGTTTGAATCATATGCACAGTGTATCATTAATATTCCGTTATATTATATTTCAATTCACTAAAGATTATACATCGATTACTTGTATACCGTGTCTGAATCATCTTCCACGAGTCGATGGTCTACTAAATAGTTGTGGATTGGAATCATCTTCTATATTGGATTTCCAGATTACGGTATAATCTAAGTAGACTGTTAAAATGGCAGTCATGTATTTTTTGCATTGTCTGCTGATGCTCCTATATATACTCTCCATAGTGAATTGTTCTGTGCCACCCACACCTGAACCTATATGTAAGTTTGATGACCTAACTGTTGACTGCAGCCACAAAATGCTCAATTCTGTTCCGAATGGCCTTCCAAAAAAGTATTAAACGCCTTATTTTGAGCCATAATACGATTTCACGGCTCATAGATACGCCAATTATATATATATATATAATTAAAGGTATATCAAACCTAGCATATTTAGATCTATCATACAACAGCCTGTCACATTATGACGCAGTTGTCTTTGCTTCAATGCCTCGTCTCAAGATGCTGATTTTGTGTCATAACCAAATCGTCTTTACAATCTGGTACATTCAGAATGCTGACAGACCTTTCCTTTCTTGACCTCAGTCATAGCCTTATTGATTCCAGCAAAAATAACCTTCTCGATGGACTGAACAAGCTTGAATATCTCAACTTAGCACTGAACATGTTGGAGTCAGTTAATCTGGGAAAGCAATTAAACCTGACAAATTTAAAAAATGCTTAACTTATGCATGAACATAGTAGATGGCCTTCGTAGAGATGAGTTTGCTGGGTCGAATGGATCATCATTTGCTACATTGGACGTATCTCACAATAAAATCACAAGCATTGAAGATGGAATCTTCGAAGGATGTACTGTAATAAGCTTTCACATTAGCCAAAGTTTTCTCAAAAATTCATCTGCATTGGTTAAGAACTTATTTGGTCAGCTCAGAGAAAAACATGTACAAGATTTATATCTAGAGAATCTTAATCCTGTCTCACTAAAACCTGCAACTTTTGATGGTTGGAACAAAGAAACATTGTTAAACTTAGACCTTTCCAAGAACAACATTACACTTATTAAAGACAAAGACACATTCAGTCGTCTTGGTCAACTTAAATAGTTTGATGCAAATGGTCTAAAGGATTGCAACAACAAGATATTCATAAAACTTAAATCACTTAGATCATTGAATCAAAATAACATATCTGTATTGAAAAGCAACATGTTTTCAGAGAACACACCACCGTCATTCACTCATTTATATCTCAGAAACGGTCATATCAACCATATCTAAGCAGGCGCATTCAGTGGACTCAATCGACTTGTAGATTTGAACATGTATGATAATAGTATTGAAGGTTCACTTGATAGCTTTTGTTTTCAGTTGCTTGGAAACGTAACCCGTTTAGATTTGGGTAAAAACAAGCATATACATTTAACTCCAAGGACTTTTTCTGTTATGCCAAAACTTATACAACTCTATTTAATCTCAATCTTCTTACAATTGATTCTTCTATGCTATCACCATTCAAGAACTTGACACTTTTAAAACTCTTGATTTAAGTAACAACAATATAGATACAGTTCCTTTCTTTGACGATTTGCTATTTTAGTAAACGCTTTATCTGCAGCACAACATTTTTTACTGTGGAAGGAAGCACATCTCGAGGGACCTGTGCTTATGCTGCGAAACCTCAAAACACTCAAAAACCTACATTTAGGCTACAATTGGTTTGATAACATTCCTCCAAGGGCATTTGAAGATCTTTACTCATTAAAGAATGTTAGTTTAATATACAATAAATTGAACAGTCTTCCTGGTAAACTTTTCAATAACACACGCAAGCCTATAATAACTTCAGCTCCATAACAATATGTTTACCCTGATCAACTAGTCTAATCTCATATATGTTCTGCAATCACTGAAAGTGCTAAATATGAATTTCAACTTTTGTTCCTGCACCTGTGACCTAGAATGGTTCAGGCTGTGGATTGGTAACACACATACTGACATCTTAGATGTTGAGAAATATAAATGCTTCTCACCACCATCTATGTCTAAGCAGCCTATATTGTCATATGTGGCATCACGGTGGAAGTGTGATGTGATCATCTCTCGAATGGCCTTAGGTCTAATACTTGTCGGTATTACTGTCTTTATGGTTGCAGTATCTACCTGTATTGGATTTAGATGGCATGTCAAGTTTGTATGTCTAGTCACAGAAGCTCACTTTCTTAAGTATTCACCACTACAGGAACACAACACAGAATATGACTTTGATGCATCTGTCTCTCATAGCAAGCATGATGTATATTGGGTGACTGCAAAGCTGCAGCCAGAATTAGAAAATAGTGGTTCGCATAGGTTTAGACTGTGTTACTGGGAAAGAGATTTCCTGGCTGGTATTGAATTGGATAAAATTGAAGACTATCAAGAAAAGCAGGACAACTATTTGTTTTATATCCGAACACTCTCTGGAAAATGAGTATTGTATTTATGAGCAGAAAATGGCATTACGTCATCTATTTGATAATGGCAAAAATGTGTTGATCCTAGTATTGCTTGAAGAAGTGCCAGACCATAATCTCATCTACTGCATAGAAATGTATAAAAGGATGCACAAAAAGTCGTATTTTGAATGACCAAAAGACGACCCCAGGAATTGAGATGTGCTCTCATGTCAGCAATAATAGAATTTGATCACCTAATAAAACCGATCGCACAGGCCCAAATACTTCTTTGTTGACATTTTGGACTGCACAAACCTTACTAAATTGTTATTACTATCAGGAAAAGATGCATTATCACGATAATATCAAAGCGTAATTTGATTTGTTCCCATGTATACACAACTTCAACAGTTGGCTGAATCAAATCAATGTAACGTCAATTGAACATTGCCCTCAAGCATTTGATGACAAGGTTTACTTTACTTTTGTAGACAAGAAACTTCCTGTATGCATAGCCATGTTTGATTGATTAACACTGTACAACGTCTAAGTATAATGACTCTATTAGATAGCTGCAACATTCACTGAAATAACGTCGACTCAACCATAAATACAGGTTGAGAAACAATACCACCACCCTAGTGTGACGAATATGAGACTATGATGAGCTCTCATACAAGTCACTACATGATGACATGACATGCTTTCTTGTCAACTCACTGTACAGTCGCTCGATAAATATTTGTCCTCAGTACTGTTAATGACCTGGCCTCGAACCTTTTTTCCGAGTATATCTTATACCCACCTCTGTATATCAAGCCATATGTCTTTCAAATGTTAGCAAAGTACAGTTTGACCATTGAGGGCGCTATTTAATTTGCATTACTCTTAACGAGAATCTTAAAAACAGGATTTGCTAAAGATATTTATTTTAATATGTATTTACAGAAATTTATTTATTATTATGATGTTAGCCCAAAAAGGGTGAAAAATGAGTAACAATAGTAGCCATTTGCATACTGCCCATGAGACCTTCCACTCGGAAGTCAGTTTTGGTCAGCAACACCATTGGACTAGTCTGAGAACATCTCTTCTTTCATCCCTCTGACCACTGAATAATTCAGTCGAGAGTTGGTTTTGTAGATGTTTTTTTTTAGTCAAGTTCGTTTCAACTGACTGTGCAGAATACGCTAGTATAGTTACTTGTACAAGTGGATTTGACCAACTGACTGGGTATGTACATTTTTGCTATTGTCCTAACCAAGTGCTCCAAACGTCAGTGCCATCATTTGTTGTTCAATTTGACACATTAAACAGCTCTCAATTATCGAGGATGAGAAACATATATGTATTTTTGTTGGTGATGAAATTAGTTGTGCGAATATATAGTCAATTTCCAAAGAAACGACCATAAGTTCAATTTGATTACAATGCAAACCGAGTTTTGATGGATCCGTTTTACGCCCTGAACAAGAAACACGTTAAAAACTGATATATATCAAATAAATGCGTGACAGTAGTGTTGATATCGTATACTTGATACAATATTATTAAAGATAAAGTAAGAAGCCATGTCGGGGTCAAACTGTTTTGAAATAAATCCCGGGATTTATCGGAACCTAACTCATTCGAACGCGTTTACAAGGCGGTGTTTGTTAGCGCAGATCGCTGTAGTGTAAACGACGTTATTGTTTTCCAAACGTTGGTGACAGCCAGGCCCCGTTTTCTGGTTTTGGATTTGAGTAAAATGAATTCTGCAAGTAACATAAGTCCCAATTGTAAAAGAGGCCGAACTCAAATACGCGTTGACCCAATAGTTGCAGCTGGGTGTATCGATGTCGGGCTCTTTGCGACGTTCGGAATAATTTGTCAATTTTTAACCGTATTAGTTGGTGTTCTTAGTCATGTACATTTGGAATTGGAAATACTGTATATTTCTGAGCAGATGCTTCAATAGAAAATTCTCATTTCAACAGCATCCTGTAACGCTTAGCAACCTTATTAGCATATAGTTTACAATACATTCTAGTTTCAGCATAACCAGCCAGCCATCAATAAACGTAGGTTACATTAGATATAGCGCCATCAATTGTTCAAATACAATTTCTGTCAACCTAGTAGCATTCCTGGTTCCAGATTTACTTTTGAAACACCCGACACCAATTCATGTACAGGATTGATTCACGTATACTTTTACTCATGAATGCATTGTGTGGTGTACCTGTTTGCTCTGTTTTGTTCCGTTAGATTGTTGTAAGGGATTGTAGAGTACTTGCCGGTTGTTTGTCTGTCGTTTGTTATGATTTCTTAGATTTCTCAACCATATAAAGTGCCGTATAAATGCAGCTTTGTATTAAAGAGTAGTAATATGCAAATTGTATTGAGCAATATGTGCAATATGCAAATGTGATATGCAAATGTTATGAGTAAAGCAAAATATACAATAATGTACAATATACAACTAATAACTATACATTAATAGGTATTAAACAAATAATAAACCCTTAATTTTCATCAATCGTTTACACAGGGTTTAGCATTCTTTTTATTGAACCTTTCACTAAGATGATCTATCAATGAAGGAACATCTTTTTGTACTAAAGCATGCCACAGCACAAGATAACAAGAAACATAAAGAAAAGACTCCGTGGGCACACGGAGCCCTCCACTTGTTTGTCTTGTTTATATTTAGATAGTGTTGGCAACACACTTTTTTTCAAAATTTCGATGTATGTGGAACCTATTAAAGAAGTATTCAAAAATACCTAAACCTAAAACTGTTCACATTCATATTTCATATATGGCAACACCTTGTTTAACACATTATTACAAAAGAACATCACACACTGTGTACGTTTTAATATGAACAAGAGATCAACAACGTGACTGTGAAGGTTTTATAGAAACTTATATTAACATAAAACAGTGTGAAAGGCATAAAGCTGGGTATGTTATAAACTATTTTTAAATATAATCTTCTAAAAATTACGGCAACATTATTACGAGTTCTAATTAATAATAAGCAAGTCTTTCATTTCGAATAAGTGTGCGGTCGCCGTTGCTATGTTACTTGAAATAATGCGTGCGCATTATGGACGTAGAAAATTGGAAGCTCGCCAGCCAAACACTAGTAAATATTTGAATGAAAGCTGAAAATCGTTGTTTACAATTGTTTTCATAAATATGTTTATAAACTAATCAATCACTATTTGCTAGAAGCTTGTTAAAGTAAGTTACATGAAGATTCCAAGAATCGCCTTTTAAGATCAAATTATACTTCTCATAATTTATGTATTGTCCTTCAAATTATGCAGATCATTTATTTTCCTTGGTTCTTTTTGTTAGCATGTTAACCAATGCAACAAAAACGCACGTTGACGGCGTATAAGTGGGCATTGAAATTGCAATCCAACAACTGATAATGATCATATATTATCTCACATTTTACAATATGTTTGAAGAATGTAACAAAAATGACAATATCAAAAGAAAAATGAAATTTGTTTGCTTGATATTTCTAACAGCAAAAGACACTTCACCTGGTGTTGGGGGCTCGTTTGTCGGATCATAATCTAATTCCACTCTTTTGAACATTGGAGTGGGAACGCCTTGTACATAAGGAAATGTAAACCCATCTATATTTATGCCATCGGAGGAGAAGAACGACACAGGACATAAACCTGACAAATGGTAGTCAAGAGCCCAAGACATAGTGCCTTCTAAAGTCGCCATGAAAATGAATTCATCTCCAGTGCGTTTTAGTTCGCCGATCCCGTATGTGCCATAATTATATCTCAGAGTTGCAGACTCGTCCATATAGATTGTTGTGTTACCCAAAGCTTTATGATTATAAATCCCTTCATAGTCTCCAAGAGGGCGTGTGGCATTGAGTTGTAGGTCACTCAGCGCCAGAACACTGTTCGCTTGTGATGGCCCTCCCCATATATTGTATTGTTCTGCAGGTATCGATTTCTCCTCCCAAGGTTCCGGGAACGTGCATGCCGTAGTCGTGTTCAACCACGGTTCCTCTCCGAGCAGTATGTCAGATGCATATGCTTGTATTCTACTCATAGCATCGTGGTCATTAATACCGTACGGACCATTAGTAGCGGTAAATATACCAATGTTTACATCTTTATAAATGGTAAGTTTCGAGCCAAAAGCTGGATATGCACCAGCATGTTCGTTACGAACATATCCTGTTCAAATAAAAATAAAATAACATTGTAGATATTTGCGTTAGTACAATGAAAACCAACACAATAATCTGAGTTGTGTTGCGTTGTAGAGCGTTTACAAATTGAAAGATTGGAAATCAAACCCACCTCTGTAAACTGTATTATCCCAGCCAAGTGCATATGTAAATGTGGATTGGTCCACAGGGTATGTCGGCCGTGCTTGTATTGATGGGGATGCATGGGCAAACTGTGATTTCAGCGTCTCTGCAAAGTGAAGAGGATGTGCCAGTTGGTTTCCCTTCTCATCCATGCCGTCATTCAACAGAAACTTTATGTATTTAGCCATGTCATTAGCAGAAGAAAGGACGCCACCAGCGGCTAGTTGTACGTGATTGCTCCTGTGGGTCAAGCAATTGGTAAGAATGAGACAATTTATGTGTATAAATAGTTGCGTATCACTACTGATAAAGTAGAAGTAACGACAGAGTAAAACAGTTTCGTTTTGAAGAATATTTTTTGTCTTGAATCAAACAAGGTTGTTTGATAGAAATGACGATGTCTCTTCAAAACACGGTCTGAGTCCATGAACTGTCTCGTATATCAAATGAGATGGGAGAAATATACGCATGTAGTGACATGAGCTGACAATTAGATCAAGAGTAACGATACTTTGCATTACTGGTACGTACAATTTAATGTACAATTTTATTTTATTCACTGAACTAATACCAATAAATTGTAGTACGAAACGAACATTTTAAGGTTAAATCATGTATATATATATGTCTCCACGTACTATAAATCCAATTGAATATAATACAACCGTCTGTATCTCTAATTTATATCACATTCTATGGTATTCTTACCAGTATGTAGATTTATCAACATGGTGATAATATCCTTCTGGCATATATATGTATGACTCAGCAAAATTGTCATCGTCCCAGTGAAGGTGCATTATTCGTGATGACGTCATCCCCAGCGCGTCATATACTCTTGTCTGTAGTAGGTTTTCTAGCGAATCTTCCCCAATAAATTCTGCAATAGCACCAGCCACGGCATACATAGCATTTTGATAGACGTACTCACTTCGAAATGGACAACGTTCCCCCAAATATTGCCGGTGTCTGTAAGAATCAAGAACTGCATTAACAGTTATAATCATCTATCTTGTAGACATAAATTCGTTGTACTAAGTATCGCCTATTGTCTAGCTGTCTGTCTTTGGAATATTCCCTAACCTATATTACTGAATGATATTTATAGTATTTAATGTAGCTACTACATAGCGATGCCAAAAATAAGAACAGAATAATTAACGACTTGTGGTTAAATGTTAGCGTGTCCGCTCAGCATAAGTGAGATTTTGATCGTAGGTAAACAATCGCAGCATCCTTTTCCCGCTGTCTATTCTATTATCTAATTAGTTTTCTAAAGTGAGTAATTGCAGTAAATACATTATAAGGATATTCTCTCCTGACAGATATACTTGACAGCATTTCCGATAGGACTACACGTTTGTATCTGTCGTGTATGTATGTGTTGGTTCACACGGGTACTCACTTTACGTAATTTCGTCTAGTTACGTTGTCAAAGCCTCCCAATTGTAGATACAATATGTCATCGAACTTGCCTTCTTTATGTGCTAGCAGATCGTGCAAATTGGTTTGTGAGTTCCGAAAGTCATCTTCTTCGTGGATTATGAAGTCATTTATGTACTGCCTTACCGGGGTTTCAAAGTTAACCCCATCGGCCCGATCGCTCAATAAAATGGCCAGTAGTGTAGCTGTGAACGACTTTGTCACTGACGCCATGTCAAATAAGGTATCAGCAGTCACGGGATCGCCGGTCTCCATATTACTAACCCCGTATCCACGAGCGTAGACAGTCTCGCCATTTTGAACCAGCGCTATAGTCAGACCAGGAACCAGCTTACACGTCATGGTTGAATTGATGAAGTTATCTAAATCGATTCGTTGTTCGGGTGTTAGAGATGTAGCCAACGATGCACCAAGAAATACAACTATCAGACGTTGAATATTCGCAATGGCCATATTTTACAGTTACAAGACTCGTGACCAACGCATAAACACTCTATACTGTAGTGCAGTGCATGTGGACTTTGATAGAGGAGATATCCTCCTATGACTCACACACCGTATTCAGATAATCTTTGTTCTCTCTAATTTCATGCAGTCGAAAAAATGACGTGATTATGGAGCGGTGAATCACTCAGTCGACAACCTTTACAATTATTCATTATGACGAGAGCAGGATATGAACTTGACTTTGTATATCGTCATATTAAACCTCAAATTACCTCTTGGGTCACTTGGCAGTTATCATATAATGTGTACCCAAAGCTGTCATACTTTACATTCATAGATACCCAATGCAAACCCACGTAAAAACTATCTCAATTACTTTGTACTACCTGTGAACTTTGAAAGATGCAAATGAGGGTGGTCACAATCTCTGAGGAATTATCAACAAGCTGTTTGTTTCCATAGAGATAATCAGACGCACTCTGCATATACCAGTCAACGTTCATAGTGTGTTTTTAATAAATTTATGAGCGGGAATACTGTGAGACTTTACGTGTCATTAGTCTTATGGAACGCCAGAACTGTTTCATATCAACATCCGGCAGACGATGATGTGCATTCGTTGTAATACGCTGTTCATTCACATTATATGATGGCCAAATGTTCACCTTAACAGTGAGGTTATGCCTTGGTCGACAATGAGCTTTTCGGGACGGTGAAACTGAGGTGAACATTTGTGATATTATACCGAATAATTCTTAAAAACAGAAATTGTGGCACTCAATGATCAATCATGACAATCGTTCAGGTCCACGCGCAGAGCTGAATGCGTGCATGAACATAAATATACAAAATGTGTTAAAAAGAAGTGATTGAATTTTATTAAGTTTTATCATGGACATCTTTTTCCTTCATGATTGTATAAACCTAATTTCAACAGTTTCAGCATGACATTTTTTTTTACAAACACACCCGTCCGGAGCGCAGCTATATGCACACGGCGTCCCAGTTCGCATTAGGAAACTTACATTGCCGCGTATATATCATCTACGCTTGACAAGTTTTTGCCGTAAATCAGGTAAATTCGGGAAGGAATTGCGGTACCCAGATGGAGGTAAACATACGAATATGTCAGCAGGTAGACACAGGAATATATTCATCTGTAATGTGCAAATCTGATTCATAGGTCATTATATTACATACATTCCTTTTTACAGTATGCCCATTTATCAGTTTATTACGTCCGTTCTTCATTATATTATGTCCAGATACGAAAGGACATCATATTTCAAGCCGGAAAGGTGATATAACAACTCATGTAGTGCACTGTGTGTATTCTATTAACTCAAAATAAATATATATTGATCATTAAAATAGAATTAGTGAATTGTACTGTTGTGCTTCAACTATTTTAAGTGCTAGCTTGTAAATGTCAGTCAGTCTAATAATATGAATAAAAAACACACCTAAGAACACGGACAATTTTATACATACAGGTCTTACTATCGTTGTGACGCCACACATTGGGTTAATATTTAAATATAGTTGAATTAACTTTTAATATAGTTGCGATATGAATATAAACTGAGCCATACCTTTCCCCAATACTAAACCTAAGCTTCGCAAACTTGACTTAAATTCGATTGAATTATAATATAAATTATGAAACAAAGTGAAGGGTTCTCACTATTCACTGATTGGCTCACTTTGTGGGTGTGCGTCCATGGATTTGGCGTCACTTGCATAGGAAGACATGACCATTTCTTTATGCAAACTGTGCCCGGATTGTGACGTTAACCTCACTTTATCAACACGATAGGTCGAACTAGTCGGAAAGCCACCAGGACAGCGGCATCAGTCGCGGAATCTAGATGCGCGCGTATTAGATGGAACGTTTCGAACGAGCGCACTTTAGCGTACAGAGCAGACGATTCCCTCAATATGGAATGACGTCATAAATCCACTGGCATTGACACTGATATAATATAATAACATATAATGAATGCCTGACATTTTTATGTAATAGAAATACATGACTTAACGTTTTCAGTTTGCATATAATTAACTTCCAAATAAATCGAAGAAAGGAGATCTATTTTTAAAATTCCATTCGTTACATATTTCGTGCGATGCTCAACTATATGCTTACAATCCTAATTCTCCGTGTGACAAAACAGGAAATCTGCCATTGATTGGAGAAGCTCATTCAATGATTTAGTATAAGTAAACTGTTTTTTTTGTTTTTTTTTGTTTTTGTACATAAACCGTAACTTTGAATTTTAATAAAACTTGGTTTATGAATCGGTCAAATATTTCTCAAACAGAGCACTAGCATACCCGGGTGTGTATGGAAGTCGCAGTTCATCAATTTCTTTTCCAGGTCCAGAGGAAGATGAAAATTGAGCAAAAATAGGAACCATGAGTGAATAATATTCATAATACCATTCCATTGGCCCTTCAATTCTGAAGTTGAAACGCAGCTCGTCAGCAGTGGGTATAAGTATTCCATTACCATACACACCGTAGAGAAATCTCAAAGTAACACCATCTTTGTCAATATAAACGGTATTATTTCCTAACCCTTTATGTCCATAGACTCCTGTATAATCCTCCGGTGGCCTCGTTGTTATTATTTCATGACTATCGCTACTTTTAACCGGCTTGCCTTTTATTCCGCCATTTGATGGCGATGGTATCCATGGCGACGGAAATGTGCAGGCCGTGGTGCTGTTCAACCACGGCTCTTCGCCAAGAAGAAGATCAGAAGCATACCTGTGAATCACTTCCAAGGCTAACATGGCGTATGTGTCATATGGACCGTTAGTGCCGGCATAGATACCAGTCTTTGAAGCATGGAGCAGAGTGATTAAAGAATTGAATCCTGGATATGCACCTGTGTGATAGCTCTTCAAATAACCTACAGGTGTATATTGTGGGCGATTAAGTTAAAGAAGAAGAAAGAATATAAGTATATATATTGAAGTACACTGTCATCACTAGCTTAACATTAAAACAGTATAATACAGCTTAATATGAAAACAGTATATTATTAGATGTGTTGACAATTAATACTTTTAAATAATTTGCACTATAAACAGCTCATTCCGCAACTGTCTTTTGTCAATGTTCATTCAATGCGTTTAATATTTGTCTATTCACCAACACAATTTTACAATCAAAACATGGTCGTGTTACAGACTTATCTGAATGTCACAAGAATAAACATAGGCAAACGAGATTCAGGGGCCACCGTGACGTCATGATTTCAAATTCTAATCAATAATAACAAAACATAATAAAAAAATAATTACATACCTCTATATATGCCATTAATCCAACCCAGTCCATATGTGTAGCTCGAGTCAGATACTGGGAAAATGGGCTTTGAAAACAAGATAGGATTTTTTACTGCATTCTGTGGTTTATGAGTTTCAGCAAGTTGAATCTTATCTACAAGTTGCTCGCCATTCTTGTTCTTCCCTTCATTCAAAATGAACTTCATGTACTTGGTCATGTCTACTGCATTCGACATAATGGACCCTGCGGGGGCGTGGTTGTAAATTGACCTGTAATCAAATTCGACGTTAACTTCCACTGAGACAAGATACAAGAACATCTGGCCATTACAACTTTCTGATTCATCTACACTTACCAGAATGTAGACTTGTCAATTTTATAGTACTCATATCTGTTGAACATGTATACATATGATTCAGCAAGGTCAGGATTCCCCCAGTCGCTGTGTGTGAACGATGATGCATCCATACCAAGGGCATTGAAAATCCTCTCTTGAATGAGGTTCTCCCATGTGTCAGCACCAATCTGTTCGGCAATGTAGCCAGCAATGGCATACATAGAGTTCAAATAGGCAAAACTGCTCCTGAATGGGAAGATTTGTTCCATGTACTTTCTATGGCTGAGAACAAAGAAATTTGAGTTGATTATAAGTGCAAAAGTAAATAATGATCTGCGTGCGATATTCATAATATAAATGTGTTACTTGTTATAATGATTTCTGTGCAGTAGAATACGCATGGCACAGTTGGCATGCGAAAAATACTTTCCGTTTTACGACATTGTAATATTCTTGCGATTTCATAACGAAAAATTCTGTATTTTTACCAATACATGAGTTTTTGAGCACACTACATAGTTTGTATTTCATTCAGTTTCCTTTATTCTTAATTCAAAACACGTATCATTGGTGTGCATATCATGGGATACTTTTCGTTATGCATTAATCTTGATATATTTATTTATTTATTATTTATTTATTTTTATTTTATTTTTCCAAAACACCAAAGAATTTAACAGTGTAGAAAAAAAGAAAGACTTTGTCGCAGTGTGTCACTGCTAAGAACTGTTAATCTTCATTAAAAATGTACACCTACATTGAAGTGCGTTCAACTAAAAGCGTTGTAGAAATCAATTATCTCATTACAATAAAAGTGTTCAACCAAGAATGGGTCTTGGGCAGTGGTGAACTTAGCATTAACAATTGAGCAGCAATGGTTATATAATCAATGTGACAGATGATTACTGTACTAAAGTGTACTTTGTTTCATTGTGGTAGCATAATCTCATATCTGGGAATAGAGTTGAATCTTGCAAAACACATCAGGTACAAAGACGTATCCAGAAGGCACAGACAGAGTAGGTTTATATTTGGGTGGAATTTGTGTCATAAACCAGGTTTCAAGCATTTATTATTAATTAATGTATTATTAGTTCATTTTATCATATTACAATTATTCCATTGCAATAACCATTGTTATCACATCTCATTGTTGTTATGCATGCTGTGATTGGTTGAGACTCACATGACATCATTGAATAGTTAAATAATAACACATGTTTGTGAGGGTGATATAATGTTGGTCATGGCCATAATATTAATGATGCCCTCGCCTTCGGATCTGGCATCATCTATATTATGGTCATGACCACCATTTTTTGGGCAGGCAACACATCGTGATATTGCCCGAATGATCATGTGTTATTTATGTTATCACATCGAGCACAATGCCATGCACAATTATCTCTATATCATACATAACTTACAACCGCTCTCCCACACCTTCTATTCACAAGTCACTCAGCTAAGAGCGTTCTCGGTGAATACTGGCGTGATACGCGTAAAAATGACCACAGTGTAAAACGCGCCGCAGCGATCCAAGTTGCGACGTTTCAGTGGCGGCCTTGCCGTACATTTTTGCCTCATATAAAGAATACCCTAAACATCAAAACAGAGTATCTTAATTAATATTCATGGCACATTTGCTGTCTATTTCGGATGGTTAAAGCTCCTTCGAAACCTTGAAAGCAAACCCGAAAGCAACAGCGGCCGGGGCAGCACCAGTGCAGCGAGCGACATTTTGTTATGCGCAGTATCGTTGCGCAGTAGTTTCGGTGACGTCATCACCTTGCAGGCAATATACCATATGTGATATCCAAGTTCCTACCTTATATATGAATCCCGCGTTATGTTAAAACCACCTAACAGTATATAATCAGTGTCATCAAGCTTGCCCTCTTTGTGAGATAAGAGATCGTGAAGGTTGGTCTGTTCAGTTCTAAATCGATCGCCGAGGTCAAAATCGGGAAGGTACTGCCTAATAGGTGTTGCCCATGTGACATCGCTGTGTCCACTCAGTAGCATCGCTAATAACGTTGAGGTAAAAGATTTGGTTATCGAGGCAATGGCAAACAATGTATGTTCCGTGACAGGGGACTTCGAATCCATGTTGCTAACACCATATCCCTTGGTGTAAACCGTCTCTCCATCCTTTACCAATGCTAGGTTCAAGCCAGGAACCAGTCTACAACTCATAGTACTGGCAATAAAATCGTCAAGTTGTTGAATCTGCTCCGGTGTCAATCCATGTGCGATACAAGCAAAACAGAACAGAAGGCACACTAATAGGCGGTGGTTACAAATCTCAATCATGGTGCAATCACCACGACATGGGTAGTCCCGACACTATAACTACGTTACAATACATCGAGCTGATATCACATGTAGCGTATCAAGTTAAAGATAGCGAAGGATAAAGTCCACAAACAGATGACGGGATGCGCGACGCATTTTTCTCCCGGCGTGTGACTTACGGGTGACAGGGTTGTGATGTTAACGGTCATTATTACGCTTATGTACACATATAAAATGCATCCGTATCCTCTATCGATTCATGTCATCATTCCTCCTGCCTGGATGATGTATACACACATGGCATCCGCGAATGTTTATATTAATCAAACGAGTTTCATAAATTTAAATCCTTACCATATCAGTTTTGGCCTGACTTTAGTGACGCTGTCTATGAGGAAAGCTAAATTACATCACACCTGATAATTGACAAGTGTACCGGCAAAACAATGGGGTTAATAATAAACATTCGTGGTTACTCTAAGTGATTGCAGACACTAAATGTCATGCAGCATTACATGTGTCTGTGGAGTTTTATCATTAGCTTGATTGATATATTCACGGTTTCTTTCAAATATATGATTACTATTTTTCAGTTAAATCCGTTGCTGTGGAAACTATATATGACGTCAAAGTATAAATACCCCTGTCAAGAAAATATTGTTTTGCACGTAATACTGATGTCATCTAAACTCATTTATTGAAACAGAGTGGTCATAAATGCGTCCACAATTGACCCAAATTCAAGCAGTAATATGTAATATACCTTCCAAAATATATACCATTGGAAGACAATCACTAAACCCAGGATTTTGATAGCTATGTGAGCAGACGAGATGCAGAGAATAGTAAGGTATCACCAATCCCAGAATAAACCTTTCTGGCATTGTCCATGTTTTACTGATTTGTTTGTGTCCACTGCGTAGTACTATTTGATATATTTGTATTGACATATGTGTCTGAGTAATCTAATGAGTTCATTGCTGTAGCAGTGATCTGGATTTAAAATTATCCACATTATATTCGTGCCATTCATGGAATTATTGAAAACGACATATCACGGTACTTTATCGACGGTAGAAAATACAGACGGCAGGCCAATTTGTCTTTGCGTCCAATGGAAGTTATTAGTTATGGAATATTTCCCGCTCTCGTAGTTCACGCATGCGCATTGTATCTGTCGGTTTTGAATAAAGTCTACCGTTTGTTTCTGCAAACTTTGTTTCATCTCTGCCTTACCACAGACCACGACATATTTGGCGACGTAGATGAAACTGTGTATTTGGAGAACCGGCACGACTGTTTTTTGACATTCTGCAAGTCCGTAAAGTGGTAAAACTCGTCGACTGAAAACTCATCCAGAACTGAACTGTTGGCGCTGTACGTCTATTTTGCACGTCCGTACGTTCATTACTAGTATTTGAAATGGCGAGTTCTCTGATAGGAACGGTGAGCCAGTTTAACCCACAGGAACAGTCTTGGGAGGACTACTGTGAAGTGATGGACCAGTTCTTTCACGCAAATTTTATTGATGACAATGATCGAAAACGTGCTGTGTTGTTATCCTCCGTGGGTCCCAAAACGTACGCGTTGATTAAAATTTTTTCGACACATTAAAGTTGCATGTACAAATCTAAAGCGAGTTAAGGCTGCCAATCACATGATTGAATCAGATGGGGAGAGCATTGATACCCAACACTACCCATATAACAATGTTTTTGGTCCCTGTCAGTCCGATGAACTGCTTGGGAAGTGTAGCAATTCAAAGTCTGGTGGATATACAGTTAATTTAGGGATTTTGAAGTGGATACTGGTTGTCTATTTACCTTGCTGAATCAGTCATCGTTTCACAAGTTACAAGATTCACAGTTACAGGACAGTCATATTCGTCTGAAAACCTACACTGTTGAACGAGTGAACATTATAGGTCGTAAATATGTAACTGTTCAGTTTGACAATAAGAGTGTTAAGAATTTACCACTTGATGTAGTTGTGGGAAAGGGTTCCAACCTTGTTGGCAGAAATTGGATTGAACAAGTGCCAAATAATTTAACAAAGATGTGTACTTCAAGCTGCAGGTCTAATGATAGTGATACTACCACATGTAATTATTTGCGAGTAGTTCTAGTTGATCATGAAAATTTGATGCGTGGTTTTGAAGCCAAAATTCATGTTAACAAAACTGTCCAACCTAAATTCTGTAAACCCAGATCCGTAGCCTTTGTAAAAAAACAAATAATTGACCAGTCACACATTCTGATTGGGCTACTCCAGTCTATTTAGGTATAATCGCTTACCTTTTGGTGTGGTTCAGCTCAAGCAATTTTTCAGAGAACTATAGAGGGCGTCCTGCTTGACATGCCTGTTGTTGTTGTTGTTGTTGTTGTGTATTTTGATGATATAATTGTAACTGGGAAAAATTATTTTGAATATCTTGCAAACTTAGATAAAATGTTATGTCGTTTAGACAATGCTGGTTTGAAACTCAAGAAAACTAAATCTGAGTTCATGAAAGATAAAATTGTGTATTTAGGTCACATGTTAGATTCTGAAGGTATTCATCTATTGACTTGAAAAAGTGACGCAATATAGTTTAAAATAAAATAATTGAATCTCAAAAGAAAATGAAAGTTTTTATTGATCGAAATGTTAAAGAGATACAATTTTCTATTGGTGATACTGTTTGGACTCGAAGTTATCAATGGTTATGGTAGTCCTTGGGTTAAGGGAAAAATAGAATGTAAGTCAGGTCCTGTATCTTACACATTGAAATTATCTGATGGTCGATGGGTTCGTCGACGTATTGATCATATTGGTTCTAAATATTCTTTTGAGTCAACTTCAATTGAATTACCAAATACTAAGTGGTATTACTAGTACAAGTGCTATTTCTACTATTCATAAACCTGTTATTGAAGATAATACTGTAGAAAAATGTAATCCTGTTTCTGTAAATATTACATACAGTAGTGAAAAGTGTCACTTTGAGAAAGATAGTATTGCAGTGAGTAGACCAAGAAGAGAGATAACAATACCAGAAAGTTTTAAAGATTTTGTATTAACAGATACTAACAAAGAGTAGTTACATTTAAACGAAATGTTGATGTACTTGTTTTGTATGTGCTTTTAGTGTGAAGCATTTACTTCTGTATGGCGTTATAAATATTAGTTTTGTGGAACAAAATGTAATTTTTAGCTAAGGGTAGAGGATCTTTAAGATCAAGTGGTCAGGCAAGATCAGCAACCTGGAATCCACATGGCAAGCGAAAGGAGGAAGGCCTAAGAACAGCTGGAGAAGGGACACTGAGGCAGAGATGAGGAGCATCAGTAACAGCTGGCACGACCTGAGAAGGAAGGCCCTGAGACGAGTACAGTGGAGAATGATCATTGGTGGCCTATGCTCCGACTGGGTTGAAGGGCCCAAGTAAGCAAGTAACATGTGGTCTAACGCCTAACTGAACTCAGTTCGTTATGCTAGTCACATGTAGGAAGAGGAGGTGGGCAAGTTGTTAAGGCGATGGACTGCATTGGGCTCTGTACGCGTGGGTTCGAATTCCATCCTCGTTATCGACTAGTTTGAGTTTTTAATTACCAAATACTGGTATTATATTATGCAAGTGGCGCAATTTATCACGCATTTAGAGAAATCTACCTCAACTGCGTGTTTAATAATGTTTGGCTGCATTATCTATGACTTGCTTTGAGTTGCTTTGTGTGTGTTATAAACAGTCATTTGTTTATTGTGGCTCATTTAATAAAAATACAATCGTTATGAGTCGTGGAACTGCATTGATTTTCATTGTATTCGTCTCCATACGCAGAATGAGTTGAAGATTTCAACAATTATAACGTGTTATTTGAATCTTTTTTATGTTCATGAACACACAAGATGGCACACCACATACTAGCATTGGTTTATCACCCATTACTTCGCCAATCACGTGCTAACCTCAGACAGTCCAGTGACCACCCGACAATATTGTTGATCTAGGGGAACATGGTTCGAGTTCAGGGTAGGGCTAATAAAAAGATTTGTTTTAATTGAATAGAAAGTTGTGCTGTAACCACAGGGATCCCGTGAAGTATGATGAATCAACTGTACGCCTAATTTGCACTCCCTCAAATATTCCAACATATTTGTAGCAACCTCTAATAAGTTGATACCTGATAAAACACACTCAGAAGAACGTCAATCAGTGCTTCGATTGTGTTCTCCAAATGTCTACTATGTCGACTTTTTCCTGTTACAGTGATGCATGCGCAAAACACAGTTAAAACGCCCAAAAACCCGCGCGTTTGTTCGTTATAGAACTAGGCATATGGCATGTGAACTCATATGATTTGTGTGATATGCACATGCACGGTGCGACTAGTTACAATCACCTACCCTACCGGACCTTCGCGGCCACAGTTGTCACGATGCATCTCAATAAAATAGCATATAAAACCAAAATAAGGCCGATATGTGTAAATACGTGTACATTAATAGTCTGGTGTATGCAGCCAGCAATAATGAAATTGCAAGAATGGCCTTGGCAAAATGATGACCTCGAATGTAGCCATGTCTAAGGCATGGAAATAATTTATAGTCTTTGCCCATTAATGTAATGTTATAGTGTCTATGTGACCATGATTATTCTTTATGATCATTTGTGATTACGCCATTGAGTATTCGACATAGACTACTGTATAATATTGAGCAGAAAGTCATGCAATAATTGCATTTCATTCAGCACATTGGCATGGCTGGCTGTACTCATTTTTACTTTTTCATGACCATTGTTAGGCGCACTACAATTTTCTCACCTACAAGAAACAGTAAGAGCTACAATGTGTACATCAGAAATGCATTTATCATGCTTGTGATGTTGCTATTGTAGGTAAATGACCACAGCAGGAATGTACATAACTGTCATCTATTAGGCAGAAGCTGATAGGGGCTAATTCCTTGTGATGATTTCTATATAAACATGTACAACAGTGAATGTTTTGTTGTCACCAGCTGCCATTCTTGAAATGATGCCACCGAGCAACAGTTCATGCCACTTACCTCAACCTTAAACAATGACATTTGTTATTGAGGCCAAATTTCATTTTTATGGAAATGCGTTTTTAAGGAAATGAACATACAATAGCCTAAAAGTAAGGGAACAACACCCTGTAACTTTGCATGATATGGGTCTATAATACTGTCTTTGTACAGTTTATTGTTGCTGCACATATACTTATTGAAAACAACAAGATATAGTATTTTCGACAATATGACTACTACCAAATTGGTTGTCGGTGGTGATACCTATCATTTGGGTCTTCCGTCAACAGTAGTTATTTACAATGTGCCTCAAGATTTAAATATGGAAAGTCCAATCATTTCCAAATCATTATCTATTTCAAGAATGTTCTTCCAATTGAACATTTCTCTACTGAAAACCTTACTCAAATCATTCATTACAATAATCCTTACCACTTACTTGTTTTTTATTTTCTTCCAGGCGAGATAATTCAACCATCACCTGTACCTCCTACTGGTTAAACTTGACAATTATTTTTACTTTATTCTTACTCGAATGTTTTTTGTAAACTTGTTGTTTATTGTTGGTTAAGATAAAAATAAAAGAAATTCCTTGATCATTACAGACGATTATTTTATTCACACTATTTTAACATGGTTGTCTTCCAACTAGTCATGCTAGTAATGTCTAATAGCAACTGGCCAAATTATAATCGAGTGGTGGGCGGGTCACAGTCAAGTACAAATAAGCCATTCACTGCCAAAAAACAAATATAATCATTCTTTCCGATCAAGTACTTTAACCTCCCCTTCTAGATTCAAATGACATAACCAAAAGACTTAAGACATCATCTACTTCCTATAACACACAACACCACATATCCACATAATTGTTCACATATGTATACAGCAAAATCAATTCCATAAATTAACCAATGACTCAAGCAAATCATTTGCCCATTATTAACTATAGCCTCTTTGTATTCCATCTAATACTTTGTCTTGTTTTTCAATTACATAAAATTAGTCTAAAAATGTCAGCTTCTATTATTTGAACACTCTGGAAAACACAATCCCATTATCAAGGCCACGTTTATATTGCGCTGGTCCCGCTAACTCTTGATAAATATCTATAAATAGCTCTGAAACTTGACCTGATTGCGCAAGTCTGACTCAAAAAACGTTTGGGCATTTCGTACAGTTGAAGCCTGCATTAAAGCATTCTTAGCTGTATACAAATTCTAGGTAGGTTTTATACCCAGATAATGACCGCACACAACGTTTAAATGTTCATGATACTATGCACGAATGATTTTCACACTAATTAAATTCAGCGATGCCTGTTAAGGTATACGTTTTACGCAGGATAATTAAACTACATTAAATTATTTTAAACTAATTAATTGTGTGTGTTACTCATCCGTAGTGTATTGACTCTAAGAAACATTTAGCCTCACTAGTAGCGTGACGGTAGGTATAATATTATACGGTGTATTGTCGGTTCTAATTTGACGGGCTGTTATAATCACGTTTTTTTGTGTTGGGTTTACATATGCATATTATTCGTCTTTCATGTTGCGATAGATCTGTATAGTAAAACTTTGTTAATTATATAACAAATTCCTACTCCGCAGGTAAATATGAATGTTACACTGAGCGTTTGCTAGTAGAATATGTATATAGTTAAATACCAGTATATCCCTCGATATCAGAACATGATATCGTATCGTTAATAAAACATAACACGAATTTTGTCTTCCACACTGTGACAATTGCTTTATTTACAGATAAGTGTATCGAGCAGTTAACCTTTTAAACTCCCAATTTCTATTCACAATGACAAAACACCGAACATGAATTGGGCAAGTAAGGATCTGCTAGAACTGGGTAGATCAAATAACAAGTTTTAATTTTAGAATATGTCGATACTATACCTTATCTCGTTTAGAGCGAGAAAATTTTAATATACATGCTTTGTGACGCACCTGTTGATTCAGAATTGCGGACGTTCAACGTTGAAAGTTCTTTGAGTTTTTATAATATGGAAAACGTGTTTTACATTCACACCCTAGAATTGAATATAAATGAAATATCATTTATATTCGTCCGTACTTTTTTAAATTATTTCATAACATACACGCACGTGTTACGTTCGACGTTCGCTGGTGCGCTGTGGGAACATGAGAAATATAGTCGTCCGATGAATTCAAAAGAAAGGGACCTAATGGATCAAAAGATAATCATAATAAAACATGTTTAACATTTTGAAAACTAATCTACAAAACTGCTCGGTAATGTTTGGTTATTGACAAGGTGCGTCTACGTCTTGTTTTTTTTGTAGTGTGCGAGGCTAGTTAATTCACTCCGAGTGCCCACGAACCTGCATCTATACCTTAAACAACTTATTTATTACATAGAGGATCTCCAATAAGTGATCTTTTGATGGCGGATTTATTAAACGAGTTTAATAAATCCCACATCACGCGGCCATGAATTGGATGTCCTATCCTATTAACCACTTATGTCTGTTTCGCAGTTTTTTATGTCGTCATAAAAATATCGGAATCGTACAGTTTCTTAGTGCATTCGGTATACTTTCGTATATTGGGACACCGTTCTTTGTATATAGTTTATGGACAATATATATAGCCACCGCTGAACAATTTGCCTATTTAGGGAAGGGGGTCAACATATTTTGGTTTACGGACCCATCGTTAACACAGATTTTTACAGATTTTATGACAATTCAGTGACCCGTAAACTTCGAGAAAACTTTGTATGCAAGTTTAACGCCAAAATGCATGTTGGTAAATTTCTGACATTACAGGTATATAGTGGAATCATAAATATTTATCATACTCACAACAGTTTCCTGAAGAAAAAAAATAGTATTGCAAATTCGTCGAATGAGCCATATTTTGCTATCTTTGGGATTACGTCACCATATCGTTTTGAGTGGATGTGATATCCAAAATCTCCAAGGGGCTGCCTCACATGGGAAAGGCATGGCACATGCAATAAAGTATATATATATATTATATGCATAATACTTTATGACATCAAAGACATCAAACGGAATAATGCCGACAATACAACTTGCGGATAGACGTATAATTATGTATATGCCTTCGCTGTCCTGGCCCATAATGTTTTTTTTAAATGTGATATATACCTCGATCATTTTGACTTCCACATCCCGACCTTAAAGTTAAAATATATAAATTACATAAAGTGTGATTTGGGTTTCCAATGTACGTAACAAATCATGTGGGTTACGTATATGCATATGATTGAAGTTACCATATAAATGCAAGTGTGATCGTTTACAATCGACATGAACGCTATATTGGTGTATAATGATAATTTGCATACCGTTGTGTTGTCTAATGCATACTTCATAGTCTACATAAATAAACATCAGACACATTTGAAGTGTACGACGCGCATTGCATGACCCTAAATGGGATACACCTGTTTTGCGCACGCGTAACCCCAGGGAGCTCTGTTTCCCCAGCAGACTTCGCGCATAGATGGAGGTAAATGAAGTTGTTTGCATATTTAAAAATAGATGCTCGTCAGGCCAACGCCGTGCTATACTTTACCCTGACATGCGTAACCATCCATCGAGCAAAAGTAGCTGGTCGATCAATATTTTTGCCGGTATTTTGTCCATTGAGTATTATTATGTTTGTGTTTTGGGTTATATCGAATTCAATACTTCCTTAGCGATTTCGATGTTGGGAGACTCCGTGGGTAAGCAGGTTGACAACCGAATGCAAACATTGTCAAACGGGTGAGTGGTTTCAACGCGTACTGAGAGGATGATGAAGCCATCTGATGAGCACAGGCCGACAAATTTAATGAGAGCCAAAGAACGGCGTCAGTCCATTCGCGTGTTAATAACTGATCAGTTTGTGGAACCCGAGAAAAAGCGACGGTTGAAAAACACATGTCGAACCATCAACAAGTTCTTCTTCTCGCATCTGGGACTTCTTCTGCTGCTTGTTGTCTACCTGTTAGCGGGAGCCCAAACTTTCCACATGCTGGAGAGCGAGGCGGCACAATCGGAAAAATCTGTCCTGTCTGAAACGCGGAAAACAATGCTGGAAATTCTCTGGAATGAAACGTCATCGGGATACGAAGAATGGAAAAAACAGGCTGATATATGGACGGATAAATTCAAGCATGACGTCGCACACAATGAGAACCACGGACTAGAAGCTACGGGTCTACCTATTGAGAGTCATTGGACTATTCTGGGATCAATGATTGTTTGTGTTACTATTATCACAACTATCGGTAAGCCATATTTACTTCTAAAATATCCAGCTGTGTGTCTGTAATATTTCATTCATAGGTTGTCTAACTTAATTATTCCTTGACAGATGTTCTTTACATAATTATAGACCTTTATATGCAAATTATCGCCGAGATCTCGCTGAAAACGAGACAGAAACGAAGTTTATTTTTGTCCCTCATATAGTGCTCGTCATTCCGTCTATCTTTGCCTGATCTTTGTAAACATGGTTCATGGAACAATAAGCCCGATGATGGGAGATGATGGGACATATTTTGAGGGTCAAAAACAAGCACAGTGCCCCCTACCTCCCAGCAAGCTCTGATCTGCCATTCACGTCTAAGGTCTATGGACATTGTAGTAACTCTCAACGGCATACTGATATAGATTATGATAATACTAAAATAGGATCATAAATTAAAAATAAGATGTCATCATGTATAAACTATGCTTTTCGCAGAATATATAAAAAAAACGGTTCCCAAACTCAAACTAATATTTAAAATAATAAACAAATAGTATATTTTTAACATGCAATTTGCGAACTGAAAGGTACCCAATTCAGCGTAAATTACACGCTAGAGTATAATATTCAAACGATTCATAATGCAAACCTTGCATCCAGCCAATTTTAGCTAGGTTCTAATTTAAATGTATTGGAGAGATGCGGGGGCAATGAGTCGTCGCATTAGCCCGCGTGAAAACGTGACGAGTAAAACAGTGTACAATTATTAACCCATGTTTATTATAACCATTACATTATATCCCCGGTTATGTAAATAATTGAAAGAAGAGGGTGAGAATTATTGGAGTGTGATCACAATGAGATGAAGCTGGTAGTGATTAATGTGTTACCTCGATGGCCCTTCAACTTTTGAAAGTTATAGTGGGCGTTTGATTGACAAGCACAGACACCCATTTTAGAGTTTTGTTGATTATGAAGGAAGACTGCCCATGAATGAAAATACCCAGAATTTATTCATTTTGCAATACATTGTACTCCCTGGCAATATAGAAGTATTAACTCGAAAGTTAGGGGGTCACTAATTAATTTTCTAAAAAATAGTGATTGTGTTTTAGTGTATGTTGCCATGTTGGCAGTATTATAGCGATTTTACCACGGGTTCACACTGCAGAGATATTAGGCCATATCTTAAATTGTAGGCTTGTGAGGTTGAATTATATATATATATATATATATAATTGAATCTGAAAGTTCTGAAAAATATATTCCAAGAACTAGGAGGTAAATATAACCATAAAATCGAAACTACGAAACACTTAGAAAACCCTCAAAAATATGTCTTAGACAGACGTAGCTAAATCTCCTAATAAAATATTATCGCATTCTCAGCTTTCTGAAAACATGTATATTATCATAGTTACATCCTTACTGACTGGTGGAGAATGCCATAATTCGCAATTAAACTATTACCCGTTTCCCTATCGCAACCCGAAAGCTCAAATAACCGCGTGTGGGGAGAGGTGATTTATTCGCAAACCTGAAAACAAAGCATGAACACGTGCATTCAGATAAAACGAATAGTCACTACTAAGATTCAAACCATATATATATATATATATAGCGCAGAATGTGATACGAATAAGCTGCTGTCTGATTGGTCTGAAGGTTAGGTTTTAGAGTTGTATACCTAATCAGGTACAATATTGTAGGTAGTTTTGAATTAACTCCAAGACTCCGTGACGTGACTGACACAGAAATCGTTTAAATTATTAATTATTGTAAAAAAGAGAGATGTCATAGTACACTTTCACGTAGCTTGGAATTTTCTCATTCGTTATTTTGGTCGTTGTTCACTCAAAATCCTATATGACGTGAATTCGTCTTTTCAACGCATAATTCAGAATTCACACTCCGACGTTGGTCTTAGGAGCCTAATATATTCATGTACGTATACGAAAGCTACCTGTGTACTTGCGTATTGCTACTATTAAGTTTTCCTGTGTTACAATACAGTCTGTGTAATCTGGCAAAGAACAAAAAAATGTTTTGGCTGAAAAAAAACTAAATTATATATACAAATTGACCTGTAGTTCGAGTATCGCTATTAATACAGTTTATTAAGAGACGATGTCAAAACATCGATGTCGGATAAAAACTTATTTGCTTTAGTCTGGGGGTGGGGGTTGACCTAAAAAAATTTCCATCCTACAAAAAAGTTTTTTTTTAATGAAGTCAAAAAAATCTTGGAGTATTTGTAGTTCGTTTTTTTTCTATCCAAGTATGGACAAAAATAACAGAAAATGAAAAAAACACACATCCAAGACGAGAAAATGCTTTGGTCCGAGTGTGAATATTTACGTCAAATGAGGTCAATTTCAGGGCATGGACCGAGAGCGTGCGCAGAACACAGAAAAGTAGTTTGCGCATGCATATATTCCCCTTCATTATTTCTTCTTTAACGGCTGAAGGTTTGCTGGCTGGGTTTTTTGGGCGTGAGTTAGTAAGACGCCATGATCAAAATTTATCAATTAAGTTTCAGTGGGGTGGGGGTGGGGAAAGGAATTAAGTTTTTTTATCCTACATTGAACATTTGATGCTGTCCCTAACAGTATATGACGAATACGCATGTCCTTCAATAGAATGGTAGTTTTGATAATTATGCGGTGAAATTAAATTCATGAAATATAACTAATGAATTATTAGTTTTAGTATCATACTGATATATTTTTAATATTATGTCGATGTATTATGCGAGACAACAAAGACAGATCAGTAAAAAAAATGCCATCACATGCGAAACCAAACAAGGATCAAGGAAAAAATTATGAAAATAACTATTAGTATATTAGCTGGTCTGTATACATTTCTATTCACTCTCATTTAACGCGCTTCAGCAAGAACGTTTTGCTGTCAATGAATGTACAATGTGATATTTGAGTTGTAAAGCTTCGCAAGAATAAATTTCGAGACCATAGACATGTTATCACGGAGCGGGTGTATTTATGTTTGCTTGGGACGCTCGGGTATGTGGGAAGAATACGTTAGGCTACCCACTTGGCAACAAACTATTCAACACAAAAATCAATTCTTTGTCAGGCTGAAGATGTTGAAATTAGGTTTGTCAAAACAACCATGTAAGTAAAAAGGCGTCCATGATACAACTCTATTGAATTCAATCATGACTGCTCTTGAAGTCTTTCAACTTGTATATTTGTATTCACACATGCATTCAACTCTACGACCGTGAACTGGAAGATTGCCATGATTGAGTGCCACCATCAAGTTTTGTTCCAAGGTTTATTCGTTATAATAATACAAGTGCTCAACCCAACAGCGGCGGACATACAGTTTTAGAGACCCTCGATTAACAATGAGCTCTTCAGGTCGCTAAAACTGTATGTCCACATTTGCTGGGGTGAACATTTGTATAATGCCATGTTGCTTCATACCAATACGCGTCTGGTCACTCCTAATATAGTGGCTATTATTATGCAGCTTGTATTTATTATCAATAATTTATCTTCTATAATTTGTATTCGCAAAGAGAGAGCCTATGGGTGCCCCATCTGGTCATGTATTTTAGCTTTCAGGATAAAAAAGACCCATATATTTTGATTCCTCTTAAATACATTTGATATATTTCTAATTTAGTTCATCTGTATTAAATGGGCGAGTCTCTTTTTCTTCCTTGCTCAATATCACTATTTTTCGTCGAGTACGGCAAGTACGGACACACTAAAGAAACAATGTGATTTTAATATTCCAAATTAGCTGCAACAGAAATAGCGAAAAAATAATCAAGCAGTGTGAATAAACGTTTGATAAGACATGACGAGAGTATATAGGCCATTGAATATGCAAATTACGCGTGTTTTGCGTCACTTGGCACCCATATCTAATATGACGCGTTGCGTGGCAACGGTCACCACCTTTTATACAATAACATTTGTGATTCAAATGACAAAATAAACTACTAGTGTTGAAAATTAAATTAACTGTGAATCGCTGTGTAATTTAGCAACTTACATTTTGCAATAATGACACGATAACGGTATTTACGTTATACTGACTGCACTACACTAATCAGACGTTGTAGCCCGTGTTACGTATACTTCATTATTTATTAACTCTTCTTGGCTCTACCTGCATTTTTAAAGATCCGACGAATAAACTTATTTAGATGTTGAAGTTTGAAACTGCCACCGTTTTACCATCCTTGTCATATCATGATGCCCTACATGTGTTGTAGGGGGCGCAATGCAGCCAATTCAATGCGTTCTATGGGCGTCAAACATTCATGGATATTAAATGTTCATATCATGAATATGTATCACAAGAACCTCGAATGATAACACAGCTTAATTTAGCGTCGACCATTCCCCCAGTTGAACACAGTAATCTGCGAACCGTAGCGAATAATAGTAATTCCCTCAAAGAAGTACAAGTAATACTTCTCAGTGGCGTTTTACTGTCTTTTTCGATGTACAACCTTGGTTAGCATGGTGTTTATTGCTGATAGAGGAAAGCTTTCGTCCAACTTTTTTGTCAGCACCCTTTCTTTGTGAGCATTTACCAGAAAAGTACTCTTTCATTGTTCTAACTAGCCCGCGTTTGCTTTGTTCTAAACAGTACCTGTTTACGAGGGAAGGACTATTTTTTGCACATCAGGTGAGATTAGGTCATTGGCTCATTGACCTCATATACATAACGAGTAACGTAACACACGTACGCGTCGACAACACCAAACCTGTTATGGAGCTTAAGAAGAAACACACAAAAAACTCACCAAATTCAAGGTATCCTCAATTAACGGACTGTTTTGGAGCCGGGGTCTAGTAAAAGTTCGTAGCCGCATCAAACAATATTTACGCCTTACACAGTGTTACTTTGACTGGTTCCCGCCTCAAGTGCCATGGCGCACCAAGCCACAAGAGGCCAGTAACTAGTAATGATTACAGCATTCTGATTGGTCCATCACTTTTTCGTTGCTTGTTCTATTTCCCTTGGTTACCTGACGTCAGTGCTTACACTCGCGAACCTAGAGCAGGGGTTTCCTTTTACTTTCGAAAGTTGGGCGAATACAAACAAATTTACACAGAAACAGTGAGAAATGCCAGAAACATCTCAAATATTAAGTCAAATCAGGCAGACTGTATGGGCATGGCGTAATAAAAACTTGTTTACAGAAAACGAATATCAGAATGTTTTGAAATTACGTCACTTAGTCTTTGCGCCGGAATCCCGGCCCAGTCAGGTGGCGATTAATAGTTACCTGCGTCCTACTTCGCATTCGAAAAGGACGCCGGGAACCAGCAAAAGTGTCACTTGTATTTATTTGTAAGTGTGTTCGGTATTACAGTCAGAAATAGCAAATTGTGATATAAAAGATTGCGTTTTGTTGATTTTCAGTAATATTACCCTTTTTTCAAACAAAAGACTTTAAAAAATACACGTTACAGACTTCCTGATTTTTTTCAGTGGCATACCCTGTATACCTAGTAAATGCAAGTACAACTGACGTTGGCCAATGGCAGGTTAATTAAACAAGTAGAAAGTGTGCTGTCTTGGCCTTTGGTTAAATTAAAAATAGAATTATAGTTCAGTCAGCGCAATGAATCATATATTATATTACAGAATTGCTGAACCGTATAGAACATTTATTATTGGTTCATTATATACTGCTTACCCAGATAGATTACCCATGTGCCATTTCGAACGGGGTTTCTAAAATTAAACGGCTATTGTGGAGGCCAAGCTCGGGCGTAATTTCATGCATAAATTACGAAATACCTCGCACTGAAGAACTTGTAACGTGATGACAAATTTTATTTTTATTTAGGTATATTATTACATAAACTGATTGTGTTTTCAACAACGTGTTCAAAATATTATTATTTTTGGTGAAATTTAATTGATCTGTAGGTCTGTGTTTATTTATTATTGCGAGAAACGACTAAACTGTTAATTTACAAGCGAAGAAGCACAGTATTACATCTGGTTACACTCAGTAAGATAACGATTGATCGTAAAATAAACAAATGAAGCGTCGTATTTGTTGCAAAAAAGGTAGTGAAACGCAATATCGTTATTCGTCTGACGAATACAGCTACATTTATTGCCGAAAAAAAACACAATAATATTTAAGATAAATCGTACCCTGTCAAACAAATAATATTGCACCAATACGACAGTATGGTGATCGCATCGACAGGCGCGTATGCCGCTTATTTTGCGTTATTCCCGTGATAATCTCATTGTTGTACACTGCTTGTAGCAATGTCTTGAGATAATGGTTGCCAGGGAAAATATTGCTTGGGCGATCTTTTGCGTTCAGTGATGCTACATTGTTGCCGCGTCCCCACGTAAACAAACGTGAAAGTGTTCGCATATAAATGAAATACGGCCCATAATTTTTCAAATAAAGAAAACATTCAAACACTTACAAAAAATATTATTTTACGATGTGTTACGGTCGGGTGAAATACTATTGTTTTCGCTGACAGATATAATAGTATATTATTAATATTATTAGTATAATAATCAAAGATATTCACATTGTTTTTAATGAGGAGTTTCAGGTCAGAAGCAGAGATTGTACATAATCATGTAGATGTTTTCATTGTTACAGGTTCATGCCATTTGCAATTTCTGTGCTATTATTCTAAAATTGAGAGTCTGATATATGTTGGAAAACGGCGAAATTCATATTTCACACTTTACTTTTTATTGGTTTATATGATACTTTTTCATATCTAATTTAATTTCCTTTTAATGGCATGAAATAAACATGCACATATTGCTTATAGCAATAACTGTAATATTGGTGCGCATTTTCAAACATCTATATTTAAGTGGAAACCAGAATTGTGTTTCTATTTGATTGCTATTTATAATAATGTTCTCAAACTGCTCGAAGTCCCTTAAATTATACGCTTGGAAACACTTGACAATTTGTCCAAAAATTAATATTTTGTTTTTGTTTCACCGATTTAATAATTGCATTTGTGAATTGAACAAGTAGTAGTCATTGCCATGAAGGCGAGGAAAGATGTCTAGAACATCCAACACTAAACATCAGTACACTTTGTTTTTCTTTCTTCTAATTTCAAAGTAATTCTATGCTACTCAGTCACAAGGAGGACAAACGTCGCGTTCTAATTGTGCAACCTCCTCATCTAAGAGGCCTTCTTGTATTCGGGCTTGTAATTACATATTTTTGCAATTATTGAAGATTGAAGGTAGAATCAGCGTTGAGCATTGTTGGTGGTCGCGACGGGCTGAACTCGGCTTTCGAAATGGACGCGTAAATTTCTCACACAGGTGCTAGGTGTGAGCATGCGGGCTGATATACTATGAGTCGAAATGAACATGGGTGATGTAAATCACTGAGTAAGTTTGCTGATTATTTAAAAATGTTGACCTCTTTTCAAAATTACTATAAATATATGCCCTTGTTACAATCTTTTCATATGACCTTTTATGTCAATAATGCCAAGAGCATGTTTATAAATATCACATAGCAGTGATGTGACGGGCGGTTTCTAGTATTAATATAAACAACATATCTGGACGATCACGAGAAGAACTATGCATCTAATGTGGGTATATTTCTGTGACTATGCTAACCATCTGAGTCCGACTGTTTATATTTCATACTATAATTATGTCTGTCACGTGACAGAACACATTGCAATAATTTGTAGTTTAGAGAATCAAACTCTTAGTCAAATTTTAACTCAGAACTGAGAATCCAAGCTCCAAAACTCGTGCGATATTATTTTAACTGCCATGACTTTATATTTATCATGTTTTTGGATACCAGAGTATTATACTACGTAACGATCAGTGAGCAAACATTCCAATAACCTCACTTTCGTCCAGTTACCGCTCCAATAGATACTTAACAAGTTCAAATATGTCGACCGAAATAACATACTGATGTTGTGAGTTCGAGTGTTATTATTATAATGGCGGTGTTTATTCACAATTTTTGCAACAACAGTAAACTTTGATCATATCTATAATTAGCCAAATATATACATTTTATGTAATTGGCGGGTATTTGGGAAGTCTATTTGTTTTAACTGTATGGTTGATCCACGTTTTGTTATGATAGGGGAGGATTAAATATGGCTGATACATAACGTAAATTCGTTGCATTTATTACATTATCATTTGCACGCCAGCTGAATATGCTTCTGCAGATACGGTGAAATACAGTACGATGTCGCGTTATTGTTGATTCCCTGCATCTCGTTGTGTTGAATAATGACATACACACGAGCCACTCGATATACGTTGCAATTCAAAGGTGCAGGCATCCTGATGTTATCTTTAGAAAAAAAAGTATCCACACTACGTTCTTTGTTAGCAAAATATGTTGTCAAATATGCAACGTCATTTTATCTCTTGTATAATGTGTAACACTATTTTAAACTTTGTAAACGGGACATCCCCCATTTACCAACACCCGGAGTTGCTGCATCTCCTAGAAATAGTATAAACGTGGATTGACCTTCTTGTGTTCGAATTGTAGCAGCGTTATGTGCAAGCTTACTAGGTTAAGTTTTCCTGTTTTTGTTACATGTGTTGTTTCTCTGTGCAGTGTATCTTTTGTTGTCTATATAGTATACAATAGGAAATAATTATTAATAATAAGTTTTATAATTAATCTGACACACATTTGGTATGAAATTGAACAAATTTGGGTATATATAAGACATATACATATAAGATTGGTTACTTTTGGTAAATAATTTTAAACATTTTGTAAAAGATTGAACATATTTGGTAAATGATCGGACACTTCGGATTAGCCACACTGGATCCAGAAATGATTGAATTGAGATTGTTGTTGATATCAAACACTATGTATGTCTATGTAACGTGTAACGAGTTGATGGGTAATGTAAAAACCGTTAACCGTTAACCGTTACTCAAATGTACCATAATCACTAGTTCTCCACACATGCTAATTAGACTTCTCCTACTTGAAGACACCAGAGATTACGAATGGTCAATTGCTTTTATCATATGCTACGCAAGCAGCTTTTGCTGTGTAGTCGATAGAACTACTATATAACTGTTAATTGCCGTCGTATTTTTAAAGCGGGAGGGTCGTCACATGCGCATGCGCGGGAATTGATTCCCAAGCGACGATAACAATACACGCTTAAACGCAAAGGCTCATGGGTAGACGCTTGTTTATAAACAATGACACGCTATGGCCATCTGACGACTCCCCGCTTTAAAAGAACTCAGAAAGATACAATAGTTATACATTGTATTCATGGTGCAACAATAATCACTCAACGTTTTGTTATTGCAGGTTATGGTCATGTGACCCCTGAGACCATCGGAGGGCGAATATTCTGCATGTTCTACGCTTTAGTCGGGGTACCTCTGTGTTTTGTAGTTTTGGCTGACATTGGAAAACTGCTCGCCAGATCATTGAAGTCGGTATGTATGAAAGTCGACGTATATCTGTCTAATAAATCGGCTGATCGTCGCCGACGCTCCAGCAAAATACGCAATTCCTCCAAACACTTGGATGTCTCACGTCTTGCGTATTATGGTGTCTGTGATGAAGAACGCGAAGCGATTAATTGCAAGAAAAAAAAACGGTCAAAACCGATGTCTGAATCAAGGCGCAAATCAAACGTCAACGGAGGAAATATAAACCGTTTAAGAACAGCACGTTCTAAAGTTGGTATGCGACTGAATAACTCGACATGGGACAGTTCAACAGACATGCTTACACAAACTACACCTGATATCACTCGTTCACCTCTGTGTAATAATATTCAGCCAGTAGTAGAAGAAATAGATGAAGTAGATGGAGGCCATTTTGAGGAAAATATACCATCTTCAACGGAACCGTCTCCTGCTTCTGAAGATGACGATGTGAGTGTTAATGTCAAGATTCCAAGAGAACTATTGAATAAGTTGCGGTTAGATCTGACAAACGGTCATAATGAGACGGGATATGGGCGTAGGGACGAAAACGGAGAACTACTTATTAACGAAGTAATTTTGGATTTATTGCGTCAACACCACCCTGTGAAACACAAGCACAAGCCCCTTTCATATTCCCTGTCTTGTCGGGAAAGAGGTTCTCGAAAATCTTCTATTGCAACAAACCAGAGACGATACAGTGCCCCGGAAAACCGGCGTCGCGTGGGTTTTTCTTCGGCAATTAGTCAGAGTGTCAATGACAGACATAACAGTACGTGGAAAAGTGAACTATGTTCAAATGCATATAACGTTGAAAGTCCCCGCAGTTCTCTTGCGAGTGACTTCAAATTCGAGGAAAAAGATGATGAAAACAAAAAAAGAGAAGAGGAAAACAAAGATTATGAAGTTCCAATTATTATAGTTGTTCTTCTACTGACTCTTAACAATTTTGCTGGTGCTTTGTTTTTCTACAAATGGCAGGAAAATTGGACTTTTTTTCAAGCGTTTTATTTCACGTTCATCTCCCTGACAACCATCGGATTTGGAGACATTATTCCCGTATTTGGTGGACATCCAAGTGTCCTTATAGCTACTGCAATTTTTCTTCTTTTTGGCCTTTCATTAGTTTCCATGACAATTGCGCTTGCACAGGAACGTTTTTTGAAACAAGCCCAAAAAGTTGCCAATACAATAGGAGTGGCAAAAAGAACGATTAAACGGAGGCAAACTATACGCCGTACTCGACGACAGGCCCGGAGAAACACCTTGATGTACGGTATTGACGGCAATTTCTAGAAAATTAATTATTTTTTTATATAAAAACAACAATAGAAATGTTTTTCAAATCAACATTAGGATTTAAAATAGTAGATATGTCGAAATGATATCTAAGTGGATAGTTGATATATGAAATTATCGTACATTTTAAATGATATTCATTACATTATATGATATGTATTTAAACAATAAAGAACGATCCGCCAACCCATAATGGGCGAAAGCTCACTTTGTGCGACATATATGTACGTGAGGCGAGTACATATATGGAGCACAAAGTGTGCTTGAGTTCATTGTGCTTGAAGGGAGTTCATCATTGTTATTATTTTGTAGTGTTGTCAATACCAGTAGATTTGCTGCCTCTAAAAGGCGAAAAATTTGGAGAAAAATCTACAGTGAACGGAATAGTTTCAGTTACTGGCCCGTGAATCTGAATAATTTAAAATGTCTTTCTTTAAAGTGTTTCCACAATCTCATATGACAAACCATGGAACTATAAACCTATAATTCCATGGGCAAACTAAGAAAGACACTAGTTTTAATCCATCAATATTATTGCATTGAACTCATTTGCATTGCGAGTGAATGATGTGTGGTGTGGTGTGGAGTAGCATTGCAGTGATCGCCTAGGCGAATGGCACACCGTGACTGGTACGCCGTATCGGTGTCTGCCGCGGCATTGCACTACGCTAGGCTAGATCGCCGCCGTGGTCCAGCTGGATCGACTGTGCGTAGGGATGCGTATCAGGGATACATGTACGTACTAGTGTTTTCAAACCATCAAGGTAGATGTTATTGGCAACTGTCCTGTCTGTGTAATAGTTATTTTAAATTCCACGGGAGGGCGGTGATTAAGAAACGAAACTTACAGGCATAGCGAGCGAATGAGCATGGCTGGAAAGCTAGTGGGTGTTAGCCATCCTAGAAGGAGAACCAACAGTGATTTTAATCTGACTGCAGTATGAATTAAAAAAATACACACCTGAAAACATGGATACTTTCTTTTTCTTATGCAAACTGTGCCCGGACTGTGACATTTACCGGGAGCCGACGCTGAGGAATTACAAGGCACGCCGGTCATCGTCGATTTCGTTTCGCAAATTGTGTGGTACTACACACTACAAAAACAGTACAAATTCATCTCTTTGTACTCGTAGACATACATTGTACCCCCACTTCGTGTATCGTATTTGCTTTGATAAATCACCCTCGATCATGATTAACCTCACTTTATCAACACGATAAGGCGAACTAATCGGGAGGCCACAAGGAGAGCGGCATGAGTCGAATCTATAAGCGCGCGTAATAGATGGAACGCTTCGACTGCGCTTTAGTATTAAATACTTGTTATCTAACAATTTCTTTTTTTTTCTAATAGTTTCTCATTTATTCGTTTTCGAAAACAACATTGTATTCATATCCATGGCACAGGGCCTTGATGCTCAATAATGGGATACATTATCGCGAATAATCTGCTGCAATGACGTCATAAAATCCACTGGTATTGATCACGCTATAATATAATATATAATAAATTTTATTTATTTATTTATTTATTTATTTATTTATTTAATT